CCTGGAGCATCTGGTGAACCTAACTCTGTCGTGGTAACACCGGCTCCCTGTTTACACATTTCCCTTCCCATTTTTTTGCCTCAGACATCTTTTCTTCGTTTTTGCTGCCCACAGCGTTTTAACTTTCTTACGTTATCGATTACTCTCTAGGCCATTTCCTATGACTTCGCTGTTTGTATCGAGTTTTCTTTTTAAATTAAATGTTGTATTTCCTCTTACGTAATTCACGTTATGCAATTAAAGGAGGTAACTGATGAGCACTCTCGATCCAATAAATTTTTCTGTTTACACAATCTTCACTTTGCTCTTCTTTTTGAAGATGGCAACTTAGGAATTTCCGGTATGTACCTAGAGACAAGATTGTGTGTGTAGCGTGTACGCGCAAGACGCGGTCGCCTGTTTCCATCCTTTCGGGTGACTTTCACCAGCCACGCCCAAACTTACTCCTTCCTAATTATGTATCTATTGCTGCGCGGACAGACCATTACGAAATCTACGCGGTTTGGCCTGCGCTGCCTTCTTAATGTTTCATAACCAATCTTTCATCCTTCGCCTTTTCCTCCTTTGCTCCCCCCGTCCGCCTTCTCCTATTTTGGACCCATCTTTGTCTCCTACGCTTTCCCTCCCCCACCCTCTGCATAATCCGGGCATTGTTTCGTCCTCAATTGTCCACCTTCTGTCTTTCAGGATAAGGCGAAAAATTTCCTCAGGAGGCGCGAATGGCTGACCAAGCGGCAGGAACGAACGTAAGTTGTCTTCCACTTTTAACCTGCTGCTGCCCAATTATAAAGGAACAAACCGACACTCAAATCTATGTGTTGACGTAATTGGCTCTCAAGTCTGTAATTTAAACCTCGACGTAAAAGGCATCTCGTGCCTCGTTCGCCGTGGTTGGTTGTTGAGACGAAACAGATGTGCTCGTTGAGATGAGAACTTTATTTGCCTGACTTTTTCGCGCATCCGTCATCAGAGACAATGTTGGCGGTGTTCACACTGAACCTAAATTGATCTGAATCTTACTGGAGCACGATAGTCTCCACACCCTAGGATACCTTTAAGCCCGTTTAAGTTGTAGTTTGCTAGACGGCCACTTCACAGAACTATTGTATGGAGTGTTACTTTTTTGAAGCCACCCACCCACCCCCCTCCCCGA